GCTTGAGAAGTTAACTAAAACGTAGCGTGCGCATAAGAATTTCCCGATGTCGATCAATGTGTTCAATGATAGTTCCTTTTGGGAAGCGCTTTCAGAAGCTGAGCGTGTTATTTTGCCGCTGTTGGAAGCTTCATACCGATTGCAACGCGACGCTGGTCGGCGTTGTGATATCTTTTCGTTTATTGTGGATTTACTATGTTTCGTGGCGATGAGAACTATCGAGAAAGATTAAGTGTGTCGAATACAGTGCGAGTAACCGCTTTTCCTCCCGACATTTCCCCTGAATCCTTCAAAACCTAATTGAAAACACGGATGAACGTTAGCGAGTTGTCGAAGTTGAGGAGCAGTGACAACAACGTGACGCGCGTGGAACCTACACTATTGCAGAGAGTGATGCCCGTCGGCGAATTGACTACAGCAATTCTCCTGCTAAAGTGGCACCCATCACTCAACTCGGGAAGTTTGCAGTTTACTACAATCATCGATTGATTGGAGATGAATTTGGCTGTATTCTTAGCGACCTGACGAAATGGATTATGGGTCACTTGACATCAGCTCATGTAAGCGAGTTCCACTTTGATGCAGTTCAATATTGGCAATATATTAAGAAAGCCCTTCAAGGATCTCACAATTGGTCTGTTATCAATCGCTGTAAGCACTGCGACGATGGAGCGTCTTTTTAGTGATCTCGGTATTATTCATACGGCGAAGCGTAACAAAAATGACATCACTAAAGGCCCAGGACACACAGCGGTTCCTTCAATACATGCGTGAGCTGGAACGAAAGGCTACTCCATCCACCCCGACGGGAAAAAGAATACTAGATCCTATGGATCGGCCAATTGTGGATAGATCGGATGCGTTCAATATTAGCTGGCGCCTTACATAAGCTGCGTGTTCATCTCAGCCCAGAGCACGGTTCGTCCTACACGACCAACTACGCTGACATCACATTCATCGGTGCGACGGTCACATGGTACCCCCATAGTACAAACTCCACTGAGGCGTTCACCACATGTAAGAACCGCCATACTGTAAGTGGATGTATGTATCCTTCCTTGAATCGGGTTTGCAGCGCTTCGATGACTAGACGCAATTCCCACGCACGGTCAGTGCCCTCTTGTCACTATTGCCCTTAAGGGCAAGTTTCTTGAAACAAACATGAATTGGTTCCTTTTCATGAACGGACCGAACGTTTCGCGTGGTATAGCGCCTTCACCACAAAGAGGACGCGGATGATAATAAATAGACGCCCCTGTATGACCACCATGTAACAAGTCTAGGGTCGCCTGCTTGCCGGCGGATCGCGTAGCCGCTCGTGCCTGCTGCGCTGTTCGCCAAGGTCCCCGTTGTCGGTCACCCCGTATGCAACTTAAACACGCTATTGGCCACCGTCAAGTAGCCGGGTTTCCCCTATTTATTAATAACCAAACAATACACTGCACGATCAATCGTACTCAAGCTCCACCCTCGCAAAGCCTCGGCTTACGCCACAATCTCCAAGCCACTCGGGAATACGCCTCGGGCGCCTACCCTCTCAATACGCAGCCACCACAGCGGACTTGGGAACCTCGTGCCCCCTTACCGGTCCTAGCTTCACGAAGCCACCCGCTATCTCGTACTCTTGCATCGCCAGCAACTCGTCCGTCTCCTCACACCGTCCAAGCAAGTAATCTCTTGCGTCACTCACGACACAATCAACTCGCCCCAACACTCACTCAA